TGAAGAGGACTTAAATTATTTACTGATGAAGATCAAAGAGCACAGCCTTCTGTATGGATTACATCTCAATGTAAAGAAAACAAAAATCCTCACTTCTGGACCAATAAGCAGCATTCTTATCAATGGAGAAGAGATTGACGTTGTCAAGGACTTCATTCTTCTTGAATCAACTATCAACACTCAAGGAAGCAGCAGTCAAGAGATTACCCTACACAGATAAAGGGCTAATTCACATAACAAAGAAACCCTATTTCCAAACTGGATTGCTTTACCAGTAGAGAGAGATTTTAGGATTCTTACACATTTTCCTTTCAATCCCTAACAAAAGAATATCAGTAAATCCAGTGTTTCTTTTCCTCTGCCCTAATGTCCCTGATGCAGGAGCTCTGGTAGCGTAGTGGTTACGAATCAGGCTGCTAATCTCATGGTCAGCAGTTCGAAACTACCAGCTATTCCGTGGGAGAAAGATGAGGCTTTCTGCTCCCGTAAAGATTTACGGCCTCGGAAACCCTGTACAGTGTCGCTATGAGTCGGAACCGACTCCATGGCACACAACAACAACAACAATGCCTCTGATGCAATGGTGTGGTGCTGTGGGATCAGCACTGGACTTTGAACTTCAAGGTCAGCAGTTCAAACGCATCAGCTGCTCCTGGAAAACCCTAAAAGGGATTGTTGTGAGTCAGAACTTAACAATGTCCCTGGTGGGAGTCCTGGTGTGGTGCTGTAGGATAAGCACTTGACTGCTAACTACAAGGTCAGCAGTTCAAATCCACCAGCTGTGCCTTGGAACCCTTCTACAGGGTCACTATTAGTTGAAACTGGACAGCATTTAGCAGCAATGTCTTGTCTGTATTGTTTTCCAGTGTGCTTTTTTTAGCATCCTGGAGAACTGCCATGTGGTGTGTGGACCAGGACTGTGTGATGGGCACCAAGCCAGGTGGCTTTTCTCACTGTCTCTCCCATTTCAGTACTTCTTACATTGAATTTTGATGGGAAGAGGCAGCCTCAAATTTCTCAGAGCAGCTGGTGGGCTTGAACTGCCGACCTTGTGGTTAGCAGCCCAGTGCCTAACTCATAGCACTACTAGGGCTCCTTATTAGGGTATAAAGAGAATGTCAATGCTGCTATTCTGTCCTTGAGTGAGAAAAGTGGTGTGGGTGTGTGTTTGTGTGTGTGTGTGAGTGTGTGTGTGTGTTTGTGTGTGTGTGTGTGTGAGAGTGAGTGTGTGTGTGTGAGTGTGTGTGTGTGTTTGTGTGTGTGTGTGTGTGTGAGAGTGAGTGTGTGTGTGTGAGTGTGTGTGAGTGTTTGTGTGTTTGTGTGTG